CAAAAGTGAGTGAATATAACCGAAAAGTGAGTGAATATATCAACTCCCTAAATTTATTTACAATACAAATTCGGTTAACCTAAGTGAAGGTTTCAAATTTTTTTGATAGCAAGTCTAAGACTCGGTTTTATGAGATTTTGGACTTGAAATGCCAATTAAGACGCGATCAGTGCCTACTCATTATACTCATGATTGATATCTAGTGATGATTGTTAACAAGTGAAGCTTTTCCGAAGCTTCGATAATGGTGAAGTGATGTTTAATCCGCGCAATCGAGCTAGAAGTATGATAACGTTTATTACTCATACTGCAACAAGACAACGACTATCAAATCCGTCGAAGTATTTCGAAAACAGCCTACCATTGATATCTCGAAGCTATATATTTCACAAGACGACCAGATATCTTCTTTACGTACTATTTCACAAATCTAATCCCTCACAAGCATTTTTTTAAGCCGCTCAAACGTGCCGAAGGTAATGCCAACCATAGGCACAACCTTCATAAGCTCCGGTGTCAAGCCACGAAAGAATCCACGAACGCCTTGTGTCTGAAATAACTCTGACGCAATGCCCATTGGCGTCGGCTTAATGCCCGCAGTCTTAGCGTGAATAGCTGAGATCTGTAAGCGGCGGCGCACCACGTCGATTGGAAACGTTAGCAAAGACGACGCAATACCTGCTGCACCACCGCAGACGAGCGTATCTGTCACGTACATTGGGGAACTATCATAATTTTGAGCAGATCGTTCTCTATCGACCTCGGTTAGCCCTGCGAGTAATTGGTTACGGCGAAAATTTCGCGCATAGTTCTTGAGCGATTCGTACAGTGTAAAATTTACGGCTAGATTCGGAACGGTGACCATGAGGGTTGCACCCATTCCACGATAAAGTCCCAAAATGCCTTCCTCTGTGCTAATGCGAAGCACAGCTTGACGAATACCTGTATAGCGGATGTCTGTATTAAGCTGCGTTGCCAACCGCGTTCGAATGAGGTCGATCGGGTAGCAGGCCACTGTAGCCGTTGCACCAGCCAATGCCCCCGAGACAAACATGGTGGTCCACATATTGTAGGCAAAAGCGGGGTAGTTCTGCGCGATGAGGCTGTTTTTAACCATTTCGAAAGTAAAAAAGTTTACAGCGGAGTATGGAAATCGATGCAAAACGCTGGCACCATTTCCCTTCCAAAAAGCTAGCACGCCCTCGTTTTTGAGAACCTTGTTAATAGCACTTCCCATAGTAGGCGAGAAGCGGTCGGTGTGACGCGTTGATACCATGCTATGTACCTGAAATAAAATTGTGAGGCGGCTAAGAGGTGCTGTGACGGTCTTTCCAACGCTCCCAGCCACACCACCAGCAAAGAGCACGCTTCCGTGGCGTATCAGCTGCTTAAGCGCATCCTGTTGTATAAGCTCCACATCCACACCGTCGGTCTCCGTGCACACGTCAGCTGTGTCACCGAAGGTCACAACACCTGTCGTGTGGCGGCGCAACAACACACGTACATCGCACTCGCGATTCGCAAGAGAAGAGAACCGGGTGCCATCTTCTTCCTCTTCGTCTCTATTTTGATTGACAATCGGGCGACGAGACATGTTTGAAGTCTGGAAGGAGGGGCGTTGACGTCAAATTCTTACTTTGGATCGCACCACAAAACCTCGCGTGAGTGACCCCTATTTGCCTTTTTAAGACATCGATAGTTTTACTCGATTGCGCGCTTGGATGGACATGCGGTCCAAGTCGTACCCATTGTTACCGAAGGGCCGCGATGTACATTTTGTCTTGCCACGCACCGGAGACCTGCGCTTTCGCTGCCAGCTTCCTCACGACTTTAAACAGCGGCTGTACATCCACGCAGACCCGCGGCGCCGCTTCTGGTATTCGCTGTTTGAGCTTCAGCGCAAGTTTATTGTCATGTCAACACAGGGAGACTTGTACGTGAAGAATATCGTGTATAGCTTTACGATGGATGATCTGCCCACGAAAAATGTGCTTAGTATGCCCCGTGTGGCACGCGGAGACCTCGTTAAGGCACTTGATCTTGTGCAGTGTTCCAAAAGTGAGGGACAACGTTGGGAACTCGTTTTTACACGTTGGCGAAATGGTATGGAGACGTGGCTACCTGTAGAATTAGTGCAGTTATTTGCTCCTGACTTAATGCAAGAGTTTTATGCTAATAGTATTAACTCTTGGGCATTTCATTCTCGCTTGCAGCAACAAAGCCTTTCGATGTATCGGACGGAAGTTGAGCTCTGGCTCATCCATCCCGAATTTCAAAATTTTTATAAGCGATTGCGTCAGAAGCAAGCTGTCGCAAGCATGTCATTACATCCGCTACAGCGATCAGAATTCGTGATGAATCAGCTGCCCTTGAAATCAGAGCATTCGACAGCATCTTCAGTTTTGAAACCACTACAAGAATATCATTCATCAGTGCCAGTCGCAACGTCAAATAGCGACCCATCCGAAGCCGTCATTCAAGAATTTGAACAACGAAGACTCGCAAGAGAATTTCAGGAGCAATTGGATCAAAATCGACGGCAAATTATGCTACGACAGTTGCAACAACGCATAGAAAAACAGGCAGAAGAGCAGCGAAACTTACATGCGCATGAGCTTGAGCGACGGCTTTGTCATGTGCAACGGAGGCAACAAGTACACGAAGAGCTGCAGAGAAAACAAAGGGAGTACCAACAGCAGCGTCAAATGCAACAAGAGCGAGAAAAATTGACGGCTTTACAGAATGAAGAACGGGACAGACGTCAGCGAGCAAAAGATCAAGAACATTTACTAGAAAGACTGCAGCAAAACAAACATCGACAGGAGGAGCCTCAAAATTACATTGCACCAATTCACGAGCGTTTGCATAAAGCAACACCGCCATCGCGTTTTCAAACGATTGAGCGACAAAACGTGTATCATTCATCGTTGCAAGGGTCGAAAAAAAGTCAATCGGGTTCTACATGGGTCAATGGTAGTGACGATGAGTACGTTCCCTCAGGAGGTGAGAAAAGCGATAGTAGCACCGGTAGCTTTTCAGAAGAAATCCAAATAAGTCGACCAACTCGAAGACGCTGTCGAAAGCGATTGTTGTATTCTCAGGTGGAGGTCGACGACGATGATGACGACCTCCCTAACCTATCAGCACCACCTTCTCGAGCCCACTTATCACATGACAAGAGCGAAGACAAAAGCCCTTCGAGAAAGGCAGGTTCAAAACGGAGAAGGTTACGGCAGTGCGGTGTCAATAAAGTGATAACAAACAGTCTTGCGGCTGAACTTAACCATATATTAGATACCGATGACGGCGAACATCAAATTGTGAAGCCACTTAACGAAACTACAGCTGTAGGACCAAGCAAACCGACTGAAGATGATCAAAATGAAATTAGAAACGATAAGGCATTTATTGAATATGACGATGATAATGACGGTGCTGATTTTGATGACGATGCAGTATTTAGGCCACCAAATCTTGGTAAAACTACTCGATGTGTGTGCGGAGCTACTGCAGCAGGGAACTACCGGGGGCATTGGCTTCAATGCTCGAAAAACGATTGTGGTGTTTGGGAGCATGCTGATTGCGTTGGATTTCTGATAAAGTTTGCGTCCATCACATGTTTGACTTATCTGTGCTCTCGTTGCGATCCCATTTCATATTTGGCACGCTGCGAAAAAGCATCTCATCGGTTACTGGACTGGCTGTTCCAATGTTGCGACAGCCGAAATTCAAAGCAACTGATAAACTTACTCAAAAGCAAAGCAAATGCCTCTTTCGACTGGAAACATGCGGATTACGAAAGCAGGACTTTGGTAATGCATGTTGCACGTAATGGTCTCGCCAAGTGCTTATGCTATTTATTGGATGAACGTAACATAGATCTCTATGAGACTGATTTACAGAATCGTACCGTACTCCATCATGCAGCTCTTGGGGAGTCAGTCGTATGTTGTCAAGCATTACTTGAGCGTGATCGAAAACTGCTGCTTCATCAAGATCTACGGGGATGTATGCCTTATCACTTGATGCTGCAATCATCGAAATTAAATCGTCTCTGTATCCCCTATATAAGGCTGGACGCAGCCCTCGTAGGCATGTGTGACTTGGACTCTAATTTTCCGATCCATTACGTATGTCAGGCGATCAATACTTCTACCATTGAGATTTGCCAAATGATTCTGGCTGCTCAACCTGTTATGCTTCAAGAAAAGTCCAGCGAGGGGATTTATCCCTTAATGATTTTGTGTAAAGCGGCGGGAAACATTAAAGCGCGAAGTCATGTATCAAATGTGAGTGAAATTTTCAGTTATGCGAAAAGAATTATCGCACTCATGCTTGATGTCGATGTCTTTGGAGACTGTTTGAACCAAAAGGCACCAAATGGGTGGTCTCCACTCCATTTTGCTGCTGCTTCAGGCAATCATGAGCTAGTGAGTTACCTCTGCAATGTCGGGCTGTATGATGTGCAATACGCTGCAAATTCATCCGGTCAAACTGCGCTTCATGTTGCAGCACAAAATGAATTTCCATTGTGTGTTCGCGCATTGTTGCTGGAAGGGCTCAATATTGTAGCGAAGGATACCATCGGGTTTATGCCGATATTACACACGAAGAAGGCCTTTTGCATTCGAGAATTTATGCATTTCAAGCTTACAAAGCAATTGTCTAGGCTGCATCGAATGCTGGGCAGGTTCAATCAGAGGGGTATTGTTCATCGGTGGCAGCGGTTAGTAGCACAGGACCCGATATGCTTTGATATTCTTAACGATTGGTGTCGACGCGATCCTGAGCGGATTGAACGCATGGATGGACTTCTGCTGTCGAATCCATTTCTACTTCGACTTGATAACAAAATTAACTATGTTATGGGAAATGTTGTTCGATCGATCAAGAAAGTACCTGGCAATTGCTTGCTCCCTTCGAGGAATGGAAATGTAGATACTGAGAAGCAATTTAGACGACAGAAGATTGTATTTGTTTTTTCGCGCGAGAGTCGCTGCTTTTGGAAACAATTTATTGGTATGGCTAGAAAACTAGAGCCCGAAGATTTTCGTTTGCCAATGGTTTTTTCGATCAAACAGGACAGCGCTAACAGTCAAATTAACGAAACTTATGAGAGCAATGTGAAACTTGTATTGATACAAATAGCAGCGGGGTTGTTGAAAGAAGCTCCTGGTTTACTCTTAAGTGACCCATGTAACAATTTGAAAAAAGGACCACTTCTGACTGACAAGGATAGCTTGTCTGCGCAATTACTCACTTTTTTCATATTAGGAGAGCTGGTAGCACACTTTGTGCTTTTTGAAGTAGCATTCAGTGGGATATTAGACTTCAACGAAGCTTTTCTGCGTTGCGTTTGCTGCAACGGAAAGTTTCTATCGAGACATGATAACGATAACATTTGGATAAATGCAGGGCGCTGTTTTGCTGCAGGATTCGATGGTGTGCTACCAGCGACCCTTAGTTTATTTCATGCGAATGAACTTTCGGTCCTTTTCAACGTTTCGAATACGAGCATTAATGTCATGCAGATTGACTGGAGTGTCGCTGTTGACTGGAATATCTGTAGACACGAAGAGCTGAACGATACGAACGCTACCAACGCGAAGGAGTGGTTCCCCCGTCTGATGAAAGAACTTGTTAAGGAAGAGCGATTGCTTGTTTTGCTGTTTATGACAGGCACGTTTCACATGTTAAATGAGCATTTTTTTCGATCCGACAAAGTTGTTGGCCGTATTACGATTGAGTGCCGTTCCGACGTTGACAGGATACTCAATCAGGACGCGATATACCCTATGATGGAGCACGGTCCTGATGTACTTCGAATACCGCCATATTCAAGCTATGACGCATTTAAAATTGGGTTTCTCTCTGTGATACGCCACACGTATCACGCATTTCTTCCAGAATGACACGACGGCATAATTTACTAACTTTTGCTCACAAGATTGTGAAGAGATAATTTTGTAACAATGCGACCACTGATACATTGCTGAGCCCAATAAAGAGATTATTGACATCCTCAAGCGTGTTCACAAGCTCTAACTCATTTGCTCGGAAGTCAAAAAGAGCAGCAGCAAGAACAGCTAAAACATCCATCGAATCATACCCAATGACACGGTCCCAGAGTAGTAGAACTTGGTCGATGTCCAGTAAGCTCGAAAATGCACTTTGAATCCACGGAAAAGCTATGTCCAAAGGTTTCACTCCTACGTTTAAAAGATGAAAAAATACAGCTGGATTGGAGCGGGCAACAAGATCCTCAAACAGCTTGCAAAGGGTTAGGATCGATGCTGGCTCGGGACAAATCACATTGAGCTTGCACCAATACCGAATATACATTTCGCGAAAAACGTAATAAAATTCTATGGGATCCGCGTAAAGATAAGATAGAGGTGCAACATACATGGCGAAACCTTTAAAGGGCAATACTCCATTTGGAGGGACTCTATATTCAGTTGCAACGATTTCCGGCTCTCTATCCAAATTAGGTAATAGCTTCTCTTCGAGCGGAAGAGAGCATTTGACAATGCCATTGACACGCACTGCATGTTTTACGACAAATGTATCACGAGTGAATGCCATCACCACGCTTTCAAGGTGATCTCGGAAAACGAAATAATCAGAGCATCCGAGTGTCTGGTGTAGATCGAGCAAGTACATTTCATCAGTGAGATAGGTCCACTGCATAACCTGTTTCTGCAAGTATTCAAAGTAGCTCCGATCCTGAGCGGTAATCGACACCGACAAAATATGACGCCAGATCTGTTTCCACACGCAATGCGAGTCAGCCTCTTCGTTGCTAATGGTCGCTCTCACTAGTTCAAAACTTTACATAGGAACGCAGTCCGACGGGGCACCCTGTCTTGGAAAAATGACGAGCCATCAATCCATTCTTTTGTGCTAGGACGAGATCACCAACGCGGTGTTTCTCTGCGAAAAATTCACTTCCATGAGCAAGAAAGTGTTCATCCAGTCCAATCTGCCTGCATCCTGGCGCTAGTTCGGAAAATACTCTTCGATACTCAGAAAACGTCGATGTGTACAGCTGTAGTTGGATAGAGTCTACAGTCGCAGCGAAAATTATAATAGCAATTTTGACAATTTCAGTAGCACAGGTCATACTCCAAAAATTTGCCGAGGTCCCGATTCGCTCACAAGCTTCGTTAGGTGATTTTATAGCTTGCAGTGACTGCAGTAGATCAAGGCTAGTAAATGTAAGGAATCAAAATCTAAATTGCAGTTTAAATTCGCTCCACGACGTACCCATCGTACAGAAATCGCGCTGGCATGAAAGATTTGACGATTTGTGCTCTAGGTGATTTAGCTAGGTCGTTCCCATGAGGCTTTAACTCTACATCTGATTTTAAAACAACCAGTGACCGTCCAAGTTCACTCGCAAAGCTTAGCATTTTCTCACTCGTGACTTTGTCCCACCTTTCACGCGCAGCTCGAACGACATCGAGATCGCAGCCGTCCGTCGTGCGAATGCCCGGCAGTATACATCCATCGGCAACCTTCTCTTTTAAATGATTTTGCGAGGCTTTAGCTGCCTCCTGCATGGCCACACAATACATATCGATCACAGTGCGCTTGACAGAACCCAAAATTTTCGTCTTTTTCAGCAAGCAATCTATAAGCGGATTTTTCGCCGACGCGAAGGACCGAAGACTCTGCACCTTATCCACCGAATACTGTGATTGTACAAGCTCCGTCTTCATGACATGTTTCCATTTCTGTACTTCGTCTTGTATGAGCAAGTGATTGACCAGGACGTACGCTTTCTCTTCAATGCCCATGCCCTCTGTGAAACATAGCTCCGCCATATCTTATCTGATAAATATATACTCCCTCTGTCTCAAAATAAAACCCGTTTGGAAAAATTCGCAAACATAACGAGATATTTAACCGGAATCCTTTGGAGTCAATTTTGTTAGGCGCAAAACAATACTTCGTGAGTGCTCCCCAGTTTTGTGCCCAACCAAAGTTTTTATGTCGAGATATCTAATGCCAAAAATCGAGATTTAGTCCGTCTTTTTTGGGCACCGCTGGTAACATTAAAATGGAGCAATTGGAACCCGTCGCTCTCATGGCCATTGAGGAACATCATGACAGTTCAGAGATCGTTTCAGCCAGTCCAGTTGGCGAAAACCGAACAGAAATCGCTGATAACAACGATCCAGAACCACGCTGTATTAACAAGAAAAAAAGCCAAATTGAGCTGATGAGCAACGAAGAGCTATTTACGAATTCTTGCTAACAAAACAAAAAGATCCAGAGCGATCTTCCAAACTTGTAAAAGGCGCTTTAAGCGTTGCAGCAATGAAATTCGGTGTAACAGTAGACACTGTTAGTTCAATCTGGAAGCGTGCACAGCAGCCCCTCGCTGATGGCAACATTTCAGCCTATCTTGGATCGTTCAAATGTGGACGTGTTGGAAGCTCCCATGCGCGCGCATCCACGGTCAGTCCTTGACCCTCGTGTGGAATATGGCTTCCGCTCGGCGGATCCCAAGGACGCAATCATTCGATCGTTGGGCGTCTTTGCGATCGGACCCCCGGCCACTACACACGCTGACCTTGACGAACAAAAATCTTTCCGAGCTAGCTTTTTGGTTTCTCAAGTAATCTCAGTATACGTACCGCACTCGAATTCGTGCGCAACGAGAAGGCACACCTGTACCCGCGAAGCGAACGTTTTCTGTGGTGCTCGCTCCTGGCGAAACCGCTGCAGATGATGAAGAGCTCTTTGAGCGATGGGTACAGCGGCACTAGAAAGTTTCCTCGCTATACAGCTTACGATTGAGCCACAAGGAAATTGCTCGCGCGTGGAACGCATCTTCGGTTTGAGTTTAACAAACTACAGGCGCGTCGCAAACCTCCTTCGGATTGTCGCCCTATGACGCATGGGTTGACCCATCTGTGGTCTCTCATACGACCGCAGCAGCTCAGGGCTATATCTTGAGCTCATCAAACGGCCCTTCCACTTTGCTGGCTATTACCAAGAAGCGCGGGGAGTACGACAACGTGGAGCGTCATGATCCCTCTGATCAAAAGCGTTCACGACGTCTGGACAGTCTTGCTGAAGTGGCACTGCAAACCTCCACGAGCTCTCGAAGCTGGGGCATTCTCGCCACTTCACGATATACTGGGTTTGACCCTGGCGACGACGTCGACCCACAAGACGCTCCACGTCCATAGTGGACACCACCATTCTCACCGAGAAAAGGCACCGGCGGACGATGACGACTGAGTCGATCGCCGTCCGGTGACTCGCGATGTTCTTCAAGCTCTTCAGGACAAGGTCCATCACCATAGGATCTCCGCTGCGCATCATGCTGAGGTCGCATACTGCTGTGCGGAAGACCTCCAGAGCTTAAAGCTCTTTGTGCACCGGCTGCCTCACGTTGAAAACTGCCGCGCTCTGCCGAAGCGACTCTTCGCCGTTAAGCAGACGAATGCGTCTCTTCATGCGAAGGTGGAGCGCTTGGCGCCGTTGGAGATAGATATCCTTGCACTCCATGCTCAAAACCAGCTGCTAATACAGCTTTTGAATGGTGGAGTGGCGCCAGGGCGCCACTCCGGCACAAACACTTTCGCGTTTAATTGCGCCGGGTCTCGGTACGACTTGCGCAAGCCAACATAAAATACCGGGTGGGTGCGCATCCGTTTCAGAAGGTCTAGCGTATACGCAAGGCCCCGCTTGGCCACAACCTTGAAAGGTCCGATAAACCGTGGATAGAGCCTCGTCCTAAACGACAGATGATTAGGAAGGTTTTCAGCATTAGATAAAACCAAGTCCTCGAACTTAAAGTTTTAAATAGTTCCTCTACCTCTTCTGCTGCATATTTCTTCTACACGCCTTGGCTTTCTGCCATCACATCGCGAACGTGTCGTAAGACACTCAGTCCGGTAGACAGGAATTCATCGACTTCCTTACAAATAGTGAGAGGGCTGACATCAGCTAGCAGTTCGGCCGTTCCCCCCACCAAGTATTGAACCATGGGATGGCGGCGTCAGCGGGAGGCGAGGATGAACGAGCCTGTTCACGTAGAACGGCGTGTAACCGGTAGAAGAATGCGCTACATTGTTCAAAGCGAACTCTACGAGTGGTAGCATGACGCCCAAGCGCTTTGGAGTCTCTGCGCAGACGCTGCGAAGGACGTCTTCGATGACGCAATACACGCGCTCAATTTAATCATCAGTCTGCGGCTGGTCCGTGTTGACATATCCAGCTCGGTGTATAACACCTCAAAGATCGTCGACCAGAACTTCCCAGTGAGGCGTGGGTCTTTGTCAGCGACGACTCCGGAAGTCTATGTTGTCGAAAGACACGACCCACAAACAGCGTCATCGTGCCGACACCGTCGATAGTGTCCGGCACCACCGCGATATGATCCATCTTGCTCAAAGGGTTGACGAAGACCACGATACCCGTGTAACTCGCCAAGTCCTTCGGCAGGCCATTCACAAAAGTCCGTACTCATGGACTGCCAACACTCGGAGGATACCCGTAAAATGACCAACGGCGCCGCCACATTCGGAGAAGGTTTCACGCTATCATACGTCTCACACGCGCACACATATGCGCTCATCCATTTGTACAGCTTGGGCCACCAGTAGTGGCACTTCACTAAGCTGTCTCACGACCTAGATGACCACTGACTGGGGTGTCGTGGGCCTCATAGAAGATACCGTTCTTCAAAACCTCATCGTGAGGAACCACAGTTCGTGGCGTATCCGTCGAGTCGGTGCTATAATATAGCCATATATTATTCAATAAATATCGGTGCAACCGTGCACGCAGTCTCGACGACTGGCTTCTTATTCAAGTACTCCTTGCTCCCGAGAGCCTCAAGCAGCAACTACGCACATCCCATCGCCCGCGTACACGGCGCGGATCAAATTCGTCACGGACGACGTCACCGTCGTGACATTAGCAATCTCATTATCTGGTCTGCGTAATAACGCATCAGCCAAAGCATTCTGCTTACCTGGCTTATATTTTACCTCGAAGTTTTATTCTGCGCAAAAGGAGAGCCACCTGGCCATCCTCCGGTAGAGGTGAGGCGACTGAGTCGCAGTGCGTAGTGACGCATGATCTGTGTGGATCAGAAACGGCTATGAGCCAAGCAAGTGGACCCTAAGCTTGACAAGTGCATACTTCATCGAAGGCAATTCCTTGTCGTAGTCTGAGTAATTCTTCCCCGCAGCCTGAGCTGGCGAGATCCGAACGCGATCACCCAACCTCGCCCATCAGCGTCTGCTTGCAGTACTGCACAGCCGATGGCAAAGTCCGAAGCGTCACAGACGACACTAAAAGGACGATCAGGGTCTGACAACGCCAGTATTGGTGCATGAAGGAGGCTGTCTTTGACCCCGTCAAAAGCCTCCCGATGCTCAGTGTCCGAACAACATTCCGCATCCTTTTTAAGGAGATTCGACAATGGCCGTGCCATTCCGCATAATTTGCGCTATCCTCGTGCACGTAGTTGACGAGGCCAAGCCAATTGCGCAAATCATTTTGATTCTTTTGAACCGGCCTGTAGAAAATGGCATTGACGTTAACGGGATCCGATCGAAGGCCACGCTCCTCGATAAAACACAAAAAACATTTCTTTGGCCCCGAAAATACACTTGTCTGCATTAGCATACAGCTTATTCAACTCGAGCACCGCTTTTAAATGGACGATGTGGTTCTCTTCAGCCGTCCTTCCGTGCTCCGCACGACTGTGGACGAAAATGTCGTCGAAGTATGTCTGTGTTTACGCCCGGTGGCTTCTAAATAACTGCGTCACAAGACATTTTTTTTTGTTGCTGATGCATTTGACAGCCCTTGAAGCATCACCAGCCACTCCCAGAGCATGTCGCTCGATGTAATTACCGCTGTCTGCGGAATATCACTCGTTCACATGAGCAATTGGTAATACCATCGCCCAAGTCGAGTGCACTGTACTTTGTACTTTTAACCATGTTGTTCTCTAGGAGTCAGCGTCTGTGCCAGAATGATGGCAGCATTGAGCTTATTGTAAGCATGAACGATAAACCACTTGCTGTTCGGCTTCTAGAGACAAATCATAGGCGTCAAATGGGGAGACTTGCTCTCACGCACCATTCCTA